GTATTTCTTCTTCATTGTAAAATATTGACTCATATTCCATCAGGGTAAGGGCCAAATCAGATATCCAAGCAAGGATTTGTTTCCATCTTTAATTTCTAAGACCTTCTAACTCTTTCTCAATCCATAGTTCAAATGAAATTAACAGAGTCCAACTACTAACACAAGGAGATGGAAAAGCGTGTAACTAAGCAAAGGTCTCTCAAACAAGGCTGTGTCATCACTAATGGAAGTGGGGTTTATATGTTAGAATATTAAGATAATTCTAAACATTTCCTGCAGATTTTTCCATTCCTCTGAATCACGTATTTGAAGAAACTTACCCAGCAATAGGCACCTAAGGAATAGATCTAAGATGACAAGACCTCTAAAAACCAACAGTTCTCACCCTGAAAGCAACTCACACAACTTTTATGGTCTATGTTTGGAATTTAGACTGAGTAGAATAAATCTTCTCGCTACCTATTGGTCTGCCAAATAAAGGTTAGCAGAGGGGCATTCTTACTACTTTACCATAAAATCAGCAACTCATGATAAAAATTATGATCTACATGAAATCATATGTTCTTCCCTGCCCCCACTGCAGGAAAGCTAACAGCATGCAAAAAATCCCCTAAAAATGGCAATGCGCTTTCTGTTATTAATGCCTTTTAATGAACAGATGACTAATTTTAGCATTATCTGTGTTTCCATCAAACTGTAATTCTAGTTAACTCAGTAATAAAAATGATAGATCTAACTGATGTATAAGCATCATTAAAACTTTTCTTTTAAATACACTATCTTACACACACAGAGCTTACCTATAAAATGCTAAATACCCATTTCCCTAAGAGAAAGCTGATAGCTAAGTTTTGTTCTTTTAAACATCTATAATTGACATTCTCATATAAAATATCCAACCCTATGGGCAACAGAAATTTTAGATACCTGAAAGAACAATGAAGTAACAAGTGACTCAAGTGGGCCTGACAGATATTAGAAAAAGAACCTTGGTGCCAAAAACTGTTACCACAGAGAACTAGGACACAAGTATATCTAGTAATTAAATTCCTTATTGTCACACCAGACAACTTTCAGGACGATGCGTTCCGATGGGTTTTCATTTCCAGCTGTTTCATCAGCTCTTACCAGTGTCCTTTTCTTAGACATACAACCCTAAATTGTCAAAGTGTTGTGCAGGGATTTAGCCGTGTGACTCCCATTAACATCAATAAGAGTCGCGCAGCTAAATCCACGCACTGTGCTTTGAAAATTTACCCCACAGTGTACATCCCAGGGTGCTGAAAGGATTAAAGTATTATATAGCAAATTCCCTCTTTGAGGTGCAGAAAATAAACAGAACTCTTCTGGTTTGTTCTAAAAGGCTATCTGTGCACGACTGCTGTGTGTGCGTCTGAACTTAGAAAGGTCTATAAAATATTCAAAATCCAAACAGAAGCTTGTAAGATACTTTGTATACAGTAAAGCGGTTTTGCAAGAGCAACTTAAACATGGAAAAATCTCTCAGTTCCCTCTTTATTTAGAAGCATGACTCCTATACCACCTCCACTAGGCAAAATCTTCCCCTCTGTCCTGAGAGACAATGCATTCAGTCACATCCCGCTGAAGGACCATCATGGTCCCTTTGGTCCCAGAAGGTAAAGAGATAATGTCATATTTATCTCAACTCCAAACGTCCTGATCACCCAAACTGTTTGTTGGCTCACACTTTGTCTTGATTCTAATGTGAGTCAGTGAGTTCAATGAGGAAGCTCAAGCAGCCAAGGTAGGGAGAACATAAGGAGGGAAGGACAAAGGCGGAGAACCGCCCCGAAGTTGATCCTTACTGTTATAAGCAGTATGGATCTCTGTGTAGCTCAACTCTACTTCTCCAGAGGTATTCTGGCAGGCCTGCATCTTCTCCTCGTGCTCTAACCCAATTCTTTTTGCCTTCATGTCCCACCACTGATAGAGACTCGTCCTGCTATGGACAAGTCAGTCAAGACATAAAGGTGAGACAAGCCTCTTCTGTGTGGGTTAGCCAGTACGCCCACGGCTCTCCCCACTGAAGAACAATGTGGATGCAACCAATAAACCACAGGTAAATTGTGGCAGATGGCACACATCCATGTAGTTCGAACCCAGCAGTAGTTCAAACTTAAGACTGTGTTCAGACCACCTCTACCAAGGGCTGTAATAATATAGTGAAAATAACCATATTGAATTAAAGGAGTAAAATACCAATAAAGATATATTATACATTGGTTATTGCTCATTATTGTTGTTTTATTTCTGTAGCTAAATGATAGCTTCAGTGAAAGATACTGAGAAGGACACGTTTAGAAGCATTGTCTCTCTAAGCAAAATACAGAAAAATTTTAAATATAGGACAGAGTTTAAAAAAAAAAAAGTGTAACAGGTTCTGAAGACATTGTGGTCATTCAAAGTCAAACTAGCACTGAAAGTGTATGTGTGAGGTAAGCAGAAGGTTCGGTAGAGTGGGCAAACTGAAAAATTCTTCAGAATAGAGAGAAAGACAGAATACTTCTATCTCAAAGTACCTGGACCAGGCATTTACTGGCAAAAGCTACATATCATTGTACCGTCATCAAGTGAGGTCTCAAAAGTCTATCATCTGCTGCGTATATTGGGCATATTCCCAGCAGGTTTTGATAATAAAGTGGCAAAAGCTGTTTTTCAATCTTGTGGGACATTCACTCTGATGCATTATCTCAGAGATGTCCATTAACTTATAGATGAGAAAAAAAGCTATATCTGCAACATATGTTGACATTAACTGAAATTAAATTGAGACTATGACAGTTACGAACGGGAGCTGGGCAACTGAACTGTGATGCAGAACAAAATGTAGAAATTTTTGTAATTAAAGCTGACACACAACTAGTGGACACAAAAGAGCAGGAAATATTCTGTACTGAGAGGATGTCTCTTGGCCTTCATATGGAAAACAATTGCAAAAAAGAGGAAAAACTTATCAAAACTTATCAAAAACTTATCAAAAAAAAGGTTAGTTTCTCCTATAACCTTTCAATTCTCCTATTTTTTATTGAATTAAAATTGGAAATTAAGAATTCTACCTCTAATGAATCATAATACTGATATTCAACTATATCAGTTCTTCCCTTTGAAATATGTGAAATGACATTTTTTCCCCAAAGAATAAAAGTCTAAAGAATCATATTTCCCTGTTTTTACATGCCACCTAGGTTTCGTATTCTTTAAGACAAATCTGCTTCAAAGCTTTTATATCCTGAGTGCAAGTACTAGATCTATATAAAAAAAAAAAAAAAAATCCACAAAAGGGATTTTTGGAGCTGATGATCCTTATGGGTTCTATGATAATCTATGACACAAGATATGAACAAAAGCTGCCTCAGAGACACTGAAAAATGTTACCTGAGGTTTCTGCCTGCCAATAGGTGGCAGAGGCTGTGCTGTGGAGAAAGTCGGAGGCCTTCTGCAAGTTGGCCAGTCGTAGAGCTCACAGGCGACGGGACTCTCCATTTGCTGCCGTCTGTGGCTCAATGGCTTTGACTTCCGTAGCAGCAGTTCCATTGGATCCGGGGATTTCCTGAACGGCGAATTGTATATGCCTGCGATCTGAGCAGAAGATGGGGTTATCTTGGACTTCAACTAACTTGAAACTCATGCTTGCATTTATTCTATAAATCAAACCAGTTAAAAACCTATATAACAAACAGTTTCTGATGACTACTGACATGGGATAGATCTGTAGCTTAAAAGCATCTCTGGGCACCGCATTACATTTAAGAAAGGGTTTAAATAGGATAACATAATGTATAATCTGAGTTTCAGCCCTTCACATGGGAGTAAGCTTAATTTTATGGAAGGAAGAGGTTCCTGTATCTCAAACCCCTGTTTTCTTTCAGTCACATTCAGCTTCCACCTTTCACAGCAGTAGTCAATGCAATATGCCAGTTTTCCCTTAAAAAAATAAGTAAAACTGTACAAATTTGCATCTAGTTTTAAAGGCAAACTGTTAAAGTTGTTTTGAAATTTAAAATTTAATTTAAATTCCTATATACAATAGGAACAAAAATACATTACCTATTATTTCCAAACACATACTCAAAGACAAAAATCAGTGCTTATGCAAGGGAACATAACTCTTGTCCCTCTAAACTTTGTGCTACTTGACTCACAATGTGGACTAAGAGAGTGGCAACTGCAGCATTTTTAAAAGTAAAATTCAGTGATTAGGTAAGGGGATATACAAGAAAATGTATGGAATATCAGAAAACAGTAATTGCAATAAAATGTTCTTATTAAATTCCTTTAATTATTCAAATGCATTTAGGTTTAATAGTAGAAAAACTGTGAAAACAAAAATTTAGAATAAAAATTTCTGAATTGTGAATTAAACTGTAAAGATTCATTGTTCATTGAATTTGACATTTCATTTTTTCAGGATGCATCATTAATTGCATCACTAGTATGATCTAATATAACAATTATTACTATAAAGCGTACAATTGTGAACTAGTGATCTACGTCATTAACAATGTGTGAATATCTGGCAAGTCAAAATTATGTGGCAGACTGTTCCCAAATCATTCCTATAAATATAGGGATTTTATCAGTTGTATATAAACAATTCTCAAAAAGACATATGTGAGTTTACTGAATTAATTATGAACTGTTAACCATAAGAATTTCTATACCATATTACACAAAGCCACTAAATCTCCTATAAAACAGATGATATATGCTTAAAATACACCTGGTGAAAATTAATTTAAAGATACTGAGTTGCTTTAAGGATAATTGTATTTTCTACATCAGTATACTCAGAGTATTCTTAAGATCTTTAAAGTAGATTTGTTCAGTTAAAATATATTGTCCTTTGCTTTTATCGTAATTTTAATTGCTAAGAAGTATTGAAAACAAATAGTAGGAAAAGAAATCAGTTTCATGATGCAGGGCAAGGTACAGAAAAGAGTAAATGTTTAAAATCTGGCATTTCTTCTTTGGAACACTACTGAGGACCCATGAGAAAACTAGGTAGAGCATCAGCCTCCTCATAAAGTATTAATCTCTTGGGGCTGAGAGGATTGAACGCTCCCCAATTAGCTCTAATGCATTTTTCATTAATGTGTTCTACTGGGAAGTTCCGATTTCTTGTTTCAAAACAGTTAAATAAGGCCCATATAAAACTTACTGTTTAATAGACAAAAATATTCCGAGACAGCAGCTTATTCGAAATATTGTTGGGCTATTCAAAGTTTTATGGGCTACATTCTTCAACTCTGTAAGTGATCTGGGTCTAATGACAATTGGTTTTGTCCCTTTGTGTTCCCCTCTTAGTGCAAACCCTATAAACTATCCCACTACACTATCAGTCTAAAAGTGCAATGGGAAAGAGGACACGAATAGAGATAAGTGGTAGAAACACATGTATGCCAAACAACCACTGGTTGTTCCTTCAGGATGCCAAACTAAAATGGCAGGCATCCATGCTTCAAATAGCAGGCAAGCAGAATCAATGGAATAAATGCAAAATTGCAGGTCCATCTGTATGATCTGTAAAATCCAGCTGCATCTTAAAAGTTTGGTTCTACAAGTATGGATCTTACTCCCATGAACATCTCACAAAGTTACAGATTCTCCTAATGCTGTTATTATTTTTGTCGTATTTCATACATTGTCCTATTGCAATTTTCTTATCAGCCCGGTACATTTTTGCTTATGAATACTTGGTGACCTGTAAGCGCTACATAAACACAAGTTCCATATGCTATCTCCGACTTTATTGCACAGTTCCACAGTTATTGAACACACACTATATACTTGTTACACAAGTTCTCTCAAATGTACAATGCCACAGTCAAGGCCTTCCATACAAATTAGATTCCATGCTGGAGATACACAAACCAACTCTATGCCATGGTCATTATGGCTCTTCACCCATTAGTCCTACCATAGCCATCAGATCTGCTTACGTTCTGATCAATGAACTTTTGCCTTCACTCTGTTGATGACAGAGAAATAGAAAAGTGGTTGCCTGTGACTACCTTTTATTCACATTTCACTGAACTGCTTGTTCTAATGTCACTTTATCTTTCCACCCATTCCTACGTCGTCTATGTTCAGCTGTTGTATCCTGCCTAACGTGGAAGACTCTGCGTACCAGCCATGCCATGTGTCTGCAGAGGTCCCCAGCGAGTGGGAGAGATCCTGCTCTCTGACGGTATGTCTGTGAAGCACATATTTTATAGAAAACTACAATGTTACTGAAAATGTAAACTTTTTCCAGAAGAAAAACATCTCCATGTGCACCACTGAGAATCAGGATTATGTAGAATAAACCACTATGGCATAATAATGACTCTCTGAAGGTGGTAGGCACGGATTTGTTGATCGTAGCAAATCCTGATCAGAGCTGCATCTGTCCAAAATTTACATCTCTTTTTAAGCTTTTTCTTGTAAAAAGAAAATAAATTTTAAAAAGCTGAAGAGCAAATTGGGTAGTAAATTTTAACAAAAGAAAAAAAAAAAATCTGTCTACATAGCACAGGTTTGGGGTTTTTTTTAAATTTTGTTTCCCAAAAGTGGAAAAATACATAATCTGAAATAATTTAAACATTTTTCCTCTGACAAATTACAGGCAAAAATAGCTTTAAAGTGATGTGCTGTCTGGGCTCTAAGTTGCTTCTGTTAGTCATACTTAGAGCAAGTATAAATGGCTCCCTGAGTATAATGCCTTTCTGAAATGGCATTTTGCAACCTATATCAAGATACTATGCATATTCTACTTGACATTTCTTTGTTTAAATGTTTGGCAGTAGAAAAAACTATAGTTCATAAGGGGTTCAAACACTGTGAAACACTGCTGAATATCTCAAGGTGCACAAATAGGACTGGCTTTTAGCACTTTTAATGACACCAAAATTAGCCATAATAGGTGTGGGAATCTATTGATTCGGTGTCATTGGAACTACTATTGCTGAAAAGGTGTCTTAACAAAGACACATCTTTTGTTGTTCTTTTTTTACATACTATCAGGTTAAATATACAGATAATGTATCAACTATGAAAATGGATTTGGAGTTTTAGTGAGGCCCGTTGGACACTGTGAACGTTATCGCTTCTTCTACAGTGGAAACTCTTTGTAAGATCTAGGTCAAAATTGATTTTGAAGTGCATTTTTAAATAATAATTTTTCAAGCAGACCTTGTTAATTGCTTTACATTTTAATTATATATGTTCAAGCATTCAAACACACAGATAGCAGAGCAATCAGCAGAGTTAGTATCTAGATAGATCAAAATAATACTAATTTACTCTAAATTCCCCAATGTTTGTGGTAAGGTTTTAGGCCTAGATTTAACATTGGCAAAGTTTGGTAGGAGAGACAAGGGGATGAGTTTGACTCTACTTTCCAGTTCAGACCAATCTCTGGCAAAATTGCTCCCATTCATTTTTAATTATGTCTGCAAATCAGTCTTATTTTTGTAATTTCTTGCACATGTGTTGTGCGCTGATGGATGCCCTATTCACTCTATCCTCTGCAGGGAGCTTGCAGTCTGCAGAAATCTAAGAATCTGGAGGATCAAAGCCTTTGGTACTTAATAAATTTGCATATCTTCTTGAGACCAGTACAACGTGCTAAAAGCGTTACTTCATCTTTTCCCTACTTTAATACAATATTCTCTCGACTACAAAACCATTGTAGTTAATACTGCATTTTCAATGACAGAAGAGTATCTGTCTTGAGATATTACTTCATACTTTGATTCCATTATTCTCCCCACCTTTAGTCCGTAGGAAAATATGTTACCCTCCAAAATATTATGGTAGTTTACAAAAAATACCTCTTGTCTGCAGGGAGAATAAGACATTTTTCTGTACCCATGTTCTTCACAACTAAGAAGGGCCTCTGTCAAGCCAGCTTTCTGGGACTGCATTTCCAGGAACAATTTTCTAAAGTGACAAACACTATGGGGAAATCTGTGCTAACTGTTAAAAAACCGACAACTGAGTTATTTGCAGTACTGTCATGCTAACTTCCACCTCAATAAGACCAAAGAAATCTCAGGAGGGGACTCTGCTAATAGCTTCTTACTGACCTCCTTGCATCAGGCCCGTCTGGTGAATGGTGGCCCAGTGGTGAATATGGCAAATGAGGTGTGAAAGCACAGATTTATTTTTTTTTTTTTAAGACTATGGTTCTGACTCGTCAGGGAAAATAAGAAAAAAAAAAAGAGAGAGAGAGAAATGAGTTATACAACAGATATATTTTTCCCCTAGAATTCTCTGCCTCAGACCTTCCATCATGGAAACCCAAGCATGACCTGGAATATTAATTGTGTCAGGTCAAGCATACTGGCAAATGTACCATTTGTTACCCAGTCATCCTTAGCATTACATTAATATTTTGAATCATTTTGCATTTCTAACACTCTATCATTTAGTTTCCTCCCAATCATTTTCTTATCTTTATAATTAATGGTGGCATATAAAGAAAGACAAAAACTAAGAAAAAATATTAATTTAATGAAGATATTAACAAAGAAAAATTAGTTGAAGATTTTTTTATATTCTGCATCACTTCCATCTCTAATCCCATATTTAGTCCATGCTGTAGAATATCCATTTTTCTCTTTTGCTGTTTG